ATTCTTGAACTGAGCTCACTTTAAACTCCTAGTCGTTCTGCTATTTTACATCCAGAGTAATCAGTATGAAGACATAACAACATTGTGCCACTGTCCAAAATCTAAAGTAGCTCACTCTGTTGTAGCTACTGGAGGTGTTCATGAGAAAGTGATCAGTGCTTTTGCCTCCACTGCCAAGTAGAAGAAGATTCAAAGTCCAACGCTTCAGTCTGTCTTCACTGGATCCCACTTTAAGGGGTCTCTCACTGACTGGTAATTGCCTCAAGAAACTAGCCACCATGTCACCTTTGTCACCTTTTCCACCCCGGATGAGTTTGCATCCCTGATTAGCCATTGAATTCTTAGAATAATGAGCTGCTGTGAAAAGGATAACTACTAAAGAACACATATAGGACGGCAAGTGTTACATTCAATGATGTCCGTCCAAGACACTGATGATACCCTTTACAGAACGCCTCTGCTTTGTCAGTTGTGACAGCTGAGTTGAGGCGGGTAAGCTGTACACATGGCCTGTCTCTCAGCAGTGTGTGTAACGTAAGAACTGGGTGTTTTCGCTTGACAAAAGTCTGCTCTTTATCATTCAGACACATGCTTTGACCAGATTGCAGTGTTGGTTAAGGAACATGCAAATTGTACTGCTGCTGCTGTTTCTCCTTTGCTCACTTTTCTGAATCCTTTGATGTTTCGTCCAGCGAGGGAATAGAGAAGTTGAAAGCTGCAGCATCATTGTGCATATGCTGGAGAATATTTCTTTTCCAGAGGTGTAGCACGATACTTCATCATAGGGTTCTTTTTCTCCCTTCCTCCTCAGGCTGCTGGTAATGTGTGTGTGAACCCATTGAAAAATGTACAAAAAAATGTTGTACTTTGGTCCATTTTGATACACAATATGTTGTGTTTTATACTGCAAGTTTTAATGTCTTAATGCACAGATCTGATTTTGACCATTCTGTATATGCTTTTTTTTTTTATCCGGCCTGCTTACATTTACTTTAGCTGAGAGTTTTAGGGTATACGCGTTGAGACGCAGATCAGATGTCCGAATCTGATTTAAAACCATATTTTGAAGTGTCTCAGAACAGATGTGAAAAAAAGTTCAATCTCATGCAGATTTTTGTGTTTACACGTGTGCAGCAAATTCCTGTCTGTGAAAGATGTGAGTAAAAATCTGATTTTTGGTGCCACTGAATTATGTGGCAGCTGAATGCCTCCTGTAGGGTTGCAATGACTCTGTTGGATGTGTCGACATTAGCCGCATTTCCATTACCCTTCAAATTGACACAAATTGAAATTGCGAATTGAATTTATGCCTAATGGAAACACCTCAAAAACTTGTAAAAACTCCCATATACCGCAAAAAGGTTTTAACACTCGCATGCAGTGTTGTAGTTGAGACCAGCTCACTCAAATATGAGTTGAGACCGAGACCAAAGAGAGTCAAGTCCGAGTCGAGACCGAGACCAAAGAGAGTCGAGTCCAAGTCGAGGCCGAGACCAAAGAGAGTCAAGTCCGAGTCGAGACCGAGACCAAAGAGAGTCGAGTCCGAGTCGAGACCGAGACCAAAGAGAGTCGAGTCCGAGTCGAGACCGAGACCAAAGAGGGTCAAGTCCAAGTCGAGGCCGAGACCAAAGAGAGTAAAGTCAGAGTCGAGACCGAGACCAAAGAGAGTCAAGTCAGAGTCGAGACCGAGACCAAAGAGAGTCAAGTCAGAGTCGAGACCGAGACCAAAGAGAGTCGAGTCAGAGTCGAGACCGAGACCAAAGAGAGTCGATTTAGGGTCGAGACCGAGACCAAAGAGAGTCGAGTCAGAGTCGAGACCGAGACCAAAGAGAGTCAAGTCAGAGTCGAGACCGAGACCAAAGAGAGTCAAGTCAGAGTCGAGACCGAGACCAAAGAGAGTCAAGTCAGAGTCGAGACCGAGACCAAAGAGAGTCGAGTCAGAGTCGAGACCGAGACCAAAGAGAGTCGAGTCAGAGTCGAGACCGAGACCAAAGAGGGTCAAGTCCGTGTCGAGACCGAGACCAAAGAGAGTCAAGTCCGAGTCGAGACCGAGACCAAAGAGAGTCGAGTCCGAGTCGAGACCGAGACCAAAGAGAGTCGAGTCCGAGTCGAGACCGAGACTAAAGAGAGTCGAGTCAGAGTCGAGACCGAGACCAAAGCGAGTCGATTTAGGGTCGAGACCGAGACCAAAGAGAGTCGAGTCAGAGTCGAGACCGAGACCAAAGAGAGTCGAGTCAGAGTCGAGACCGAGGCCAAAGAGAGTCAAGTCAGATTCGAGACCGAGACCAAAGAGGGTCAAGTCCGAGTCGAGACCGAGACCAAAGAGTCGATTTAGGGTCGAGACCGAGACCAAAGAGAGTCGAGTCAGAGTCGAGACCGAGACCAAAGAGAGTCAAGTCAGATTCGAGACCGAGACCAAAGAGGGTCAAGTCAGAGTCGAGACCGAGACCAAAGAGAGTCAAGTCCGAGTCGAGACCAAAGAGAGTCGATTTAGGGTTGAGACCGAGACCAAAGAGAGTCGAGTCAGAGTCGAGACCGAGACCAAAGAGAGTCGAGTCAGAGTCGAGACCGAGACCAAAGAGAGTCGATTTAGGGTCGAGACCGAGACCAAAGAGAGTCGAGTCAGAGTCGAGACCGAGACCAAAGAGAGTCAAGTCAGATTCGAGACCGAGACCAAAGAGGGTCAAGTCAGATTCGAGACCGAGACCAAAGAGAGTCAAGTCAGATTCGAGACCGAGACCAAAGAGAGTCAAGTCAGATTCGAGACCGAGACCAAAGAGAGTCAAGTCAGATTCGAGACCGAGACCAAAGAGGGTCAAGTCCGAGTCGAGACCGAGACCAAGAGAGTCGATTTAGGGTCGAGACCAAGACCAAAGAGAGTCGAGTCAGAGTCGAGACCGAGACCAAACAGAGTCGAGTCAGAGTCGAGACCGAGACCAAAGAGAGTCGAGTCAGAGTCGAGACTGAGACCAAAGAGAGTCGAGTCCGAGTCGAGACCATAGAGTTTGGATAACCTAAGGTTGGGTCTGAAACCAAACTTAAAGATATCTTCAAGAATGTGTAAAATATTTGGTGGTAACAATAAAATTGGCACCATACTCAAACAGTAAACCAAATATACCATGGAATCATGTACACTGTAATGGTAAATAGGCCACATAGTGTTGTAAAGGTAATTTTATTACAATTATAACTTACAATTATTACAATCAGTAAGTGCTCTTTCACATAACATTACTGGGCACAAATTCTGTGTGGCTCTTATATGCAAACTGAATTATGGATAATAAGCCAGACATTTTCAATACATAGTTGAGCTAGAGGCTCCACATCACATCTGACCTGGGTTCTGCTGCATTTACGTTATAGTCTCAAGTCATGCGCAGTTGTGCACAAGAAAGTCAACAATCATTGGATGTTTCAATTAAACAACAAATTAAAGAATTATTAACATACAGTGATAATCATGACATATTTTGAATGGGACTCAAGTGGACTCGGGAATAAGTCCGAGTCCTAATATGCAGAGGCGGCTGGTCTATTATGGGCGCTCCTACCAAGTAAAAAAAAAAAAAGTTTTAAGTTTGACAAAAATATAACTTTCTTCTGTACAGGTTCTTCTGTACGTGTTTTACACACTAGAAGGACGGGGAGGGGGTGGGGATATTTTTGTAAGACAGCTTAAAGGTTCTCTGAGCGATCCTGGGTGTTGTTGACGTTCGGAATATTTTCAAACAAATCGGAGGCTAGCTAGACCCTCCCTCCTCCGCATCTCATCTCCTCCCCCTCCCTTCCGTGCTTCTTGAAATAATTGTGAAAGTGCATAGTTCTAGCAAATTACATCCTTGTGTGGGTTTGGCGAACATAAGCGTCAATTTAGAAGAAAAAAACAATTTAACGTTACCCACCTGTCCAGCAAAAACAGAGCAACCTGAATGTCGGACTGGAAGCCCTTCTGCCGCCGGAGTTCTCGCCATCGTTCAAAAGCTTTGCTACCGATGTAAATTCGGAACTTCGCACGTTCTTTATCCGACTCCTTCTTCTTTTTAATTTGTTCCTCAGAACGACGTCTCTTTGATCGTGTGTCGGCCATTTTTCAAACTTCCCTCTTATGCTTCTCTCTCCTTCACACACACACACACCCTTCATGTGCACGCGCACTAACCCCCCGGACCCACCCTCAAATACTTCTTGCCAGTGATTGGCTGGAACACTGTTTGTTAGGTTTCGTGGTCCGGGTGAGACATGATTGTTTTTGTTGCCGTTTTCGGAGCCTGTGGTGTCTACAGAGACCGCGTTTTTTTACAGTGTGTTTAGGGGACAGGCAGCTAGCCGATAGTGAGGAGACGTTTGATGTATGTGACAAAAAAATGTTTTGGCCCCACATCGCTTAGAGAACCTTTAATCGTGTAGTTTTATCCTCGGGGCGCTGAGAAAGAGTGGTGTAGTCAGTGTTTCGAGGCCGCAAAGGCCGGTCTGATAAATCGGTGCGTAGCCTATATTTGCACTAAGTGTCTGTTTTATGCGCAAAAACACGCCCGTCACGGAACAGCTACAGTGGCGTGGGTCGTAGAGCGTGTAGTTTGTGGAAGAGCTTTTGATGCGCTGGGACCCGAGTTCCGAAGTTACTCTGTAGGCCAAAACGCGGAAGTGAGTTAGCATCTTAGCACTACCGGTTCCCTCGCTCTAAAGCCTATGGGATTTTTGAATGGGTTTTTGCTAAATCGCCTGAAATAAGGTCTGTGGTGAACAAAGCTTCTAAATATTTTCACGTTTTGATCTATGACATAAATCACAACCGAACAAGATGTATTGTCATTAGCGCTATAGAAATAAAGGTGATTAGACTTTGAGTTTATTAATAGAATGGCCAGTAAAACACAGACAAAGGATGGTAATTAAAGTAAGTTCTGAAGTTCTGAAAAATTGTAATGATGAGTGAGAAGATATGTATAGAAGATGCATATTGTTCATAATATGACATTTTGTTCTGTCCACAGGAGATTATGTGGTTCTGACAGTCTTCTTTGACTTGAGCAGAAGAATGGGTTATTTCACCATCCAGACGTATATCCCCTGTACTTTGATCGTTGTCCTGTCGTGGGTTTCATTCTGGATCAACAAGGATGCCGTGCCAGCCAGAACCTCCTTGGGTAAAACTTTCTGTTCAGTTTCTACATGATGTGTACAACCTTTGTGCTGTGTTTTCTTAATCAGTATTAAACTCTAAACATCCTTAAGAGAATTTATCTTGAATTAAAATATTTTTTTTTTACTCTAAATGTTGTATCTTGACTTGCCTATAAACACCACTAAATTTAGTTAAGTTGGAACTATTTGAAATATTCTGAAAACAGATCTTGTTATAAGCTGTTTAGATATGTTTTATTGGAAAATTATACAGAAATACTGATCAATAAGTACAATTTTTGCAGTTACAATCATAATAGTATGGCATGCAGTCCTTTTTAAAACTATTGTAGATGGTTTTTGACATTCACATTTGTAAACATTGTATTAATAAAATATTTTATAAATTTTATTAGTGAAGATACAATGCAGTGCAACATGCAGCATTTAAAGGCATGTTCATATTTTACTGAAAGCAAATTTCCTGTTTCTGTTATATATATATATAAATATGTAAAATATGTTTTATGTTTATATGTTACATGTTTTTTCTCTTCTTATTCAGTAGCTCATCTTTCTTGCAGTGACTTCTGACCTCAGTGTATTATCATTAATAATTCTAAATTATCTGTGTTGAAACAGCAAGAATTTGGTTTTAACCCTTTGAGTACATTTAATATGTGGTGATATCTTCCGATTGCCACTTTTGGAAGTGACAGTGACATGACGTGAAGGCCAAGTATGGCAACCATGCTCGAAATGTGTCCTCTGCATTAAACCCATCCAAGTTAGTGCACATATATTAGGAGCAGTAAGTAGTGCACACACACACACACACTGCAAAAACATTTGGTTATGTAGCTGATACTTAGCATCATTCATACAGCATGCTTCACGACATCCATCATTATTGTCAATTTTAGTCTGCTTTGTTTAGTGTCTTTCTTTGTGTGTTCCTGTTCATTTGTTCAATATTTATTTAATAGCACATTTAATGATTTTTACACAGTCAAGATTACAAAACATCAATGATTATATGCAAAAGTAGAGATAGTTAAATTTAACCCTTATATTATGTTCAATTTCTAGGTAAGAATTATTCTTTTTTTTTTTAGAGAGAGAGAGAGAGACAGGTGGGGTTAATAATTAACCTGCATTGGATTTAATAAAATTCCCCCAAAATCAATTTTTTTTAATACATTTACATTTTTATAACAATACTATCTTATTCTAAAGCTAAAATAATCCTGACTAAATATATACAGTATAATTTGAAAGCTTTCAATCTCTAGTTTTCATACTTGGTGACTGATTGTCAGTAGCGAACCGTGACTCCCCTCGTCGTGAAAAAGGTAAACAGCCAAAAACAGCCTGTCGTGTTTAAGTATGTTACGCTTGACAAGAAATGCAACAAGACATCAGCACAGTGAGTTTGAGAGTTATGACCGAAATAAAATAAAATGCAAGAAATCGTCATTATCCTCAAATATTGCAAATAATTGCATCATCACAGCATGGTGACAACTGGCCGGGTTGCAAAACGTATGACGCACAAAACCAACAAAATGTAATGTTATTTCAGGGAAGGGTATAGAGGTAGGTTAAATGAAGACGAACATTTCTAAGCAGTTCACAACAAAATGTTCTTTACATTCAGAATAAGCCTGGATAGATTTCAGAATAATAGTGATATTTCAAATTACAAAATATTGTTTTTGTATTTACATTATTTTAAATAATTTTTATAACTTCAAATTAATTATATTTGATATTTTATTTTGATATATTTCAACTGAGGAATTTTGTATTTTTATTTTCATACATTTTTCGTATATTTCTGCCCATCTCTGGCAGTGGAAAGCATTTTGTCCTCGGAGGCAATGCTGGTAAGTACACTTATTTTTAATCCGTGTCTACACTGGACACGACAAAGCAAATGTTTCAGATCCGTTTGTCCTTAAGTAGCACGAGTGCATGGAGGTCGTCAGCAATCCAACAAGGCATTCGTTTACTGTCAGGGGTTCCTCGGGTTGAAATTTCATTTTCTTCTTCCTCGAAATCTGACTCAGGCTCAAACGCCTCTATCAGCGCTTGCTATCTCGGGTATCAAAACACATGACATGCTGTAAAGGAGGGCATGTATATGGTGCGATTAAATTTAGCCAATCACAGCAGCGGGCGGCTTCTGTTTCAACAAGATCTGCCCCTTGAAACTGAGTGTGAAAAATCCCCATTTCTATAAATATTGGACTTGACGAACTTGGTAAACTAACCTTGAAAATCTGAAACCGCAGTTCAAGACATTTCAAGAATTCAGTTTTCATTTAACAAATGTTCCTTGTATAACTTTATTTACTATAATAATACAATTTCTTTAAATTTTCAGAGCCGATGTAGCGTGCTTGCACTAAATAGACCTGAGTGTGGAGTTGTATTTACACTTCACATGTATTGTGAGTGTAAGTGAGTGTCTTCTGCATAAAAACAATATGCCACATTTTGTTTTTACCAGATCCCAACAGAAACAAATCTTAATGAACCCCAGAAGTGGAAATAGAGCTTTCTATTTCCACGACAAAAGATCTGTCATTTAAAGGGACACTTCACCCCTGGAAATATGAATGTGTATTTAAAATTGGTAATTTATGTAGAAAAAATGTGAAATTATTTTTGAATTCGGAGCTTTCTAGACTGAGAAAAGCCAGAAAATGTATTTTTGGCTTATGTGGATGAAAGACAACAACTCCCAGAATGCACTTGCTTCGCTGCCCTAGGAGGCCACGCCTACCGGTAACAGAGTGCAGTAGTTAAACAACAAGTCTAGGCTACTAGTTAGTCTCCGTGATGAGTCTGGCCGAAAATGTGTTTCGAGATCGCCCAAAATGTCCGGGATTGGGCTTTTGCGTTCTACAGTCGCCATTCATTAGGTTTACTGTGGCGAGCGTGACGAGTGAGGGCCGCGGGAGAACGGCGCGAGGCCGGTGGCGTGATTACCGATGAGCGACACCTGTGAGACGCACCGGTCTCGTATCTCTCACGGAAGAGGGGGAATTTTCTTAGCAATATTAAAACGCACATCAACCGATCACTTGTTTAGCATTCATGTAAACACTACATTCAGATTCACCAATCGGAATGAATTCAGTTAGATTGAAACAAAAGCTGTGCATGTAAACAATGAATGGCGACTGCAGAAAGCAAAAGCTGAATCCCGGACATCCACGGCCGGACATGTCCGGGGAAAAGAGGATGGTAACCCCGACTACTCAGCTTTCTCCACAGAACAAGAGCCTGCTAGCTTAGCTTCCAAAAAAAGATGGCCGACACTATGTGTTCATTCTGTGTGTGAGATCCCCCTCTATGGGTGGGTTGAGAACAAGTGGGACAGACCCGACTACTGACTTAAGTCTTTAGACTCTAGACAAAAAATCCTCTGATAATGAATAATGACGTTTTTGCGTCATCTGGGGATTTTTTACAGACAAAAAATACATAAATCTCTCGTCTCATTGCATGGTAATTTGAAAATACTGCAGGTTTTCTACTAATACAAAGTTTAATGCTTAATCCCGAAATATCCCTTTAAATAAGACGAGAACCACTTCAGTGCAATCCTCTTGATTCCCACCTATTGACTCAATCTCAGTAAGAGTTTCTGATCCACAGATCTTATAGATCTAGCAGAGCCGGTGAGTTTATACTCAAAAGGTCAGAAAGACAAGAAGGTGCCAGCAAGACAGGGGGAATATGTTAATGTTTGTGAGTACCATAATTCATAATTCTATCATAATACTAGCGGCTGCATTTTGGACTGTTTGTAAACACAAAATCTGCAAACTTAAGACAGGGCTTAAGCTAGTCCATGACTAAAATGCATGTTTCAGGTGTTTCATATCTTAAAATATGTTAGTGCCATTGTTTTGTCTCAAGAGCAGTAAAGTCCTAATCCTGGCTTAGTCCAGGCAATGTCTGTGAAACTGAACCTCAGAATTCAGGAATGTATTTATTATGCAAAATAATACTTTAGGACTACGGTAATTAAGTCCAAAACCACTGCCTTAACCACTTTAACAAACTGTTGATACAAAACCATACAAACTCTTAAGTATCTCAAATGAAACCTGGAGTCTGTTTTTTTTTTTTTTCTTTCAATTTCCTCTCTACTTGTCTCATTGCAACCAGTTAAAATCAGTCACCTATACTCACCCAGTCCCTACATGGAGAATACTCTGAAACTGCATACAGGAATTATAAACCTCTGAAAATGAAAGGCATACAGAGCATTTATAGAACTAGCACTACGGCCTGCCCGAATTAGGCCTAGAGAGAAAAAAACATAACAAAATTATACGAGAATCAAATACTTTCGATAGCAAACTCACACACCGGGACACCTGAAGACAAAACCAGATCCAGTGTCTGACCTATGCTGAGCTTGAGCATAGAAACCACCACAGATTGAGTTTGGTTGAAAGAATCCACCAAAGATTCAAAACGTCCACCAACATAACTCCTAATATTAAAAGACTATCACAACAAGGAATCACAGAAGATAAAAAATCTGAAAATTAACAAAATACGATCCTTGTTATAATTTTGAGATCCCCAAGACAAGTCTAAATCACATACATTAAGTCATGTCTTCATTTTAAAAATAGAACATCTAGATCTCGTGAGGTGATTTAATAGAACCATTTAATATTTAATAGAACCATCTTCAACCTCTTTTCGTTTGAATTAAAACACCACATGCTCCAGAGGACAAAAAATATCAGGGTTGATCCCACCTCTTTTTAAAATGCAGTCACATTACTTTGTAAACTGATGCCACTTCCTTAGGGGGCTGGAATAACCAAAACCAGTAAGAGTACCTGGCGCGTTGAAAGAGATGCCAAAGAGGCTCATAGAGACCAAATGCCCAGCCAGACTACTGAAGATGCAGTACGCTCGTCTCTGTTTTACCAACACACCTCCTCTCTTGCCGCTTCTACTGTTGCATTTACTTCTGCGACAAAAACATTCT